CAGACGTAACTTTAAACCAAATAATATCTTTCTACTTATCTTCTTCTTTCTCTTTTGATAAATACATTTGTGGGAAGGAATGGTTTTAGATTTACAGAAATTGTGCAAAGTCATACAGAATCACCAGACACTCTGCATCAGTTTCTCCTACTGTTAACATCTTTCATTATAACATATATTTGTCATAACTAATGAGCCAACAATGGTACAGTACTATTGTTTAACCTCTACACCAGACTTCACTAGTTCACCCATATCTTTTTTCCACTTCAAGGTCCCAGCCAAGTTACTACAACACACTGAGTCACCACATTTCTCTATTTTCTTTTGGTCTGTGAGTGTCCCAGAAGTTTCTTGTTTTTGATGGTCTTGAAAATTTTGAATATTGTTCAGGAATTTTGTAGAATATCCTTTAATCAGGGTTTGCTTGATTTTTTTTCCTTGTGGAGAAATGAGGTTGTATGTTTTTGGGTGATCTTCTGTGTGCTTGTGTGTTCTGATTGTATCATGGCTAAGAGTTCCTGAAACCTGTTCCATGTGAGGCAACATTTAGCACCAGCCTGCTTTATTTAGTTCCCCTCGTTGCACGTTACTTAGTGATTGAGATGAAAGTTATCCAGATAACTGTCAGAGATGATGAGATGATACTAGCAAATGACCATGGAAACAGAAGAAAATATTTCAGTCTTTTTCTCTAAATAGTTAAAATCCTCCTCCACCAGTACAAATATATTTTCCCAAATTGTCTTTCACACCAAAGACAAATGATCACTGTATAATATTATTCAATATCTTTCTTTTATTTTGTACACAAAAAGGTCAACCTGAAAATATACATCAAACCCAAACGAAAACATCCTCTTTCCCCATGCAACATACCAGTGCTTGAAGTTTGCTCTTCCAGCATTATTTGTTTAATAGAAATATTTTCCGTACCACCTGGTTCTGGCAGAAAGTCAAAATTTGCATTTATATGAGGTAGTTTATCAAATATAACATACAGAAGTCTGTTAAGTACACATTGCATTTTGTTTGTGAGAAAATCTGTTTGTATTTAATGTAGTTTTTAAATTAACCTTAATGAAAGCTTCTGAAAATTGTTGTTCTAAGCATTTGAAATATGCAACAAGAACTAGTGGAAGACATAAACATGTTTTCCATTATATGTTATCAGATAGCCCAAAATTACTACAAAGAAGAATGTGGGACTATGTTAAATTAGAAAGATAAGCAAGCATTTAGTTAAAAGCAAAGGTCTTTAGAAGAAGAAAGCATCTAACACAGTTAACCCCAAACATCTTATAACAATCTTCAGACAGAGGTATTTCAACATTTTTAAGTTAGAATATTACTTACCATACATAGAAACGAACATTATTTGCATCAAAACCTAGCATTTCATTTCTTAATCTTAGACTCACCAGGTACAGAACCACCCAAGGTTTTCTGATGTGCTGAGAAAGGTAATTTAGAAAGTGAACCTATCTGTCTGTGTCTCTTAAGATAATAATTCATTCTTCCCTCAGTTTTTCACTATCTTTTAATTCTTGACAATGTTATCCTTACTGTGTTTTGAATTTAAACATAATGCCACTGATTTTCACATAAGATGACTACCTAGCTATTAACATGTGTTTCTAGTGGACTATGTTTTTACTAGTTGTGTCGTAGAAAATTCAAGTGTCTTTAGACTTTGGTTAAATTATTTACCTGAGGAAAGGGACATAGACAGGACCAAGATGAACAGGAGAGCACAAGATACATATCTAAAGGAGTAAATTTTGATTTGGCTCCATCTCATTGTTTTTATGTAGAAAGAAATGGCCCATATTTTCAGAGTGGATTTTTAAAGTTAAAGCTTGAAATCTAGATATTGCATAAAATCTCATGATTCTTAAAAGTTAGAAACTAATTGAAACATTTAAATATCCTTAAGCAAAACAAAATATGGTGAGTGTGCCAGTTTTCAGCCTGTGTTATAAAGTACAGAAAGAATATTAATAATTACCTAATTCAAGCAAAAACTTGGGAAATCACTATTTCCTTTGGCAAATATTATATTCTCCTGCATGGAAAGCTATGCTTATTTTGAAGTAAATCAGATGTTATTCGATGTTATTCGGAGCTATTGCTCTTCGATGCTTATAGCATTTGACAAAGTCTGTGTTATGGTCCCTAATCATGGAATTTGCTGCTACCTTTGATCACCAACTTCTTTGAAGCCATTGCAGTGTTGTCCTGATAGTTTTGTTAAGCCTTAAAGCAAATTTATATTTTTTAAAAAAACACCTTTGATTAAACTATGTAATAATTTTAACTTGAGAAACCCTTCATTTGCTAAGCTTAAATTCATTTAATCATAATTTTTATCACATGGAAGCCAGAATTAAAATTTTTATTTACTAAGACTATACAGAAATATTTTGAATCCCTGTCTATTTCTCCTTTGATTTGCCACTTGTACAAGGCTCATTTTGCTCTTATCCATCCATCCTACTTAACAGTGATCTCTTGGATCACTGACCAGATGGCTTCAGTTGGGGCTGAAGGGGTTATGTGTACCTATGAATTTCTGTGCTAAGATCTGTCGAGAAAAGCAGTCACACTACACCCATTGCTTACAATTACAAAGGTGGAAAAAGAAGAGGTTACTCTCCATCCACTTTCTACAATTTTTACTTCTTTTTTCCATCTCCATCAGAACCCTCTGACAAGTTTGAAAGGTGCTGATAGAGCTGAATGTGAATCATTCTTCTACGCCTTCTCAATCCCAGACTTATATCCTCCTCTAAGAGATAGGTTTGCATTCTTTTATTTTTAAAATATGTATTTGAGATGCAGAGAGAGAAAGAGAGGTACCAAGAAGTATCATGAGAGGGAGCACCAATCTGCTGGCTCACCCCCCAAATGACCATAGCCACTGTAGTAGGGACGAGGCCAAAGCTGGGAGCCAAGAACTCAGTCCAGGTCTCCCTTAAGGATGGCAGAAGTCCAATCACTTGAACCATCACTACAGCCTCCAAGGATCTGCATTCACAGAAAGTTTGAATCAGAAGTGGAAGGTGTTTTTCTTTAGCCTGGTGGGCATTCCATTATGAAATACAATTATTTCAATCAATGTCTTAACCAGTAGGACAAATGATTGCCCTAGCTCTGAGTTCTTTGCCACCTTTACCATGTTCTTATAGACTTCCATGTGACCCAAAGTCAGCATCCTCAATAAAAATTTTTTCACAGTAATAAATTTTCTAATGTATTGGTGGTATGATTTAAAATGATGAGGGCCGGTGCTGCAGCTCACTGGGCTAATCCTCTGCCTGCGGCGCCGGCACCCTGGGGTTCTAATCCCGGTCGGGGTGCTGGTTCTCTCCCGGTTGCCCCTCTTCCAGTCCAGCTCTCTGCTGCCGTGGCCCCGGGAGGGCAGTGGAGGATGGCCCAAGTGCTTGGGCTCTGCATCTGCATGGGAGACCAGGAGGAAGCACGTGGCTTCTGGCTTCAGGTTGGCGCAGCGTGGCGGCCGTGGTGGCCATTTGGGGGGTGAACCAATGGATAAAGGAAAACCTTTCTCTCTCTGTCTCTCTCTCTCTCACTGTCTAACTCTGCCTGTCAAAAATAATAAATAAATAAAAAATGAAATGATTGAGGGAGATGATAGCAATAAAATATTTTATAGTAGTGATTACAGAGTTAAGTATTCTTTTTATTTTTGATTATTATTTTAATTGTACATGTTAATTGGGTACAGTATGATGATTAATACATATACACAATATGTGATGATTAAATCAAATGGCAGTATTTCCATCTCAAACATTTTTAAGAAAATTTTTGATTACCACTTAATAATACGTATGCATATTCTACTGTTAGGCATATAAATATGTACGAAAATAGAAATGGAATTGAAAAATTAAGCACATATTAGTGTAAAAATTCTGAAGTTCCTGCATACAAGGGGCTTTCCAAAATTTTGTGGAAATTGCACATTATGAAAAATTTAGGCAATGATTTCAAAAATTTTGCATGAAATGTTCCTATCTTTTATTTCCAGTTTCCATGAACTTTTTGACATCTCTTTTATTGTGTTTAGTCATTCTGATTTGATACAATGTTGTCAGTACTAAAATTGTTGAACCAACATATTCATTTCTATGGCTTTTTTTCCCAAAAAAGATCAATGCATCTTACTATCAGCTTGTTTGGCTAGCAAAGAATTGTGTGAATTGAAATTGTAAAGTACAAAGACCAAAAGTTGAGCTGGATTTTAGTCTTATCAGTGTCTGAGGTCCAAGGCCTTTTAACTATCTGCATTAGGATCACCTAGCGATTTTTGTTAGAAATATAAATAGGAGCAGGCATTTTTCCTACAAGTTAATATGCCTTTTATTCCATATTGGAGTGCCTTGACTTGATACCCTCTCTGGCTTCTGACTCCAGCTTCTTGCTGGTGTGTACCTTAAATGGCAGTGGTAATGGCTCACGTGGTTAGGTTCTTGCCATCCATGTGGGAGACCTGGGTTGGAGTTCCAGGCTCTCATCTGGGTAATGAGCCAGCAGATGGGAGCACTCTCTCTAATGAGTAATTTTTTAAAAAGTATTTAAAAACGTGAAGCACTGGACATTACGTTTGAGTTTACATTTTTACCATTACCAGGTGTTGTCTTATACACAATAATTGAGAACTACTGATTTATATATCAAGAAATGATTTGGATCATTTCATGGAAAATTCTTCATAGCAAAGTGGAATTTCACTGTTAGCTTCTTTGTTGTATCAAGATGTTCCTATATGCTAACAACCATATTAAGGTCATCAAATTTTCTCCTAAAACTTATTTAATGCTTTCCTTCCCTGTAAAGCGCACATTTACATCTGTTAGTGAATTCTGCTTGTTTTTTTTTTTTTTAAGTTTATTTGAACTGCAATATATGTTTTCTATTCTATGTCTTTCCTAAAAGAATGTCAGGTAGCTTTAATATAGTATAAATGACTATAAAATTATAAATTTGAAAGTTAACGCCTTGTCTCTGAATGATTAAGGCAAAATATACCCAATAATGCTTTTGCCTTTCTCATTTTTGATCCAGATTTTGATCTAGTTTGACAGTGGCTTTAAAGAATTCCTCTAATTGACAAATCACTCTGGTTCTAAAAGGGACGCAGTGAATAGTTAACCACTTCATAAACGCTCTTAAAGTGTTTTTTATGTTCATACAAAAAATTTTTAATGAAATGAAACAGTTAATATTTCCAAACTTGACCTTCTTTGGTTATACAGAGAAATGCAAATAATTAAATAGCATTATTTGTTTAAACCTCATAAGGTTCAAGTAACTAGCTGTAATATGGGAATAACTAGGTCTTATCTGCATCAGAAGAAACATACACTGTGAGTATACAATAGCAATATTAGAGCACTAATAGATTTAACCTTGTAAGTTCATAGATATTTAAAAGTATTATGGTTTGAAGGTCAACATGTCTGTCTTACTGTAAAGAAAAGGCAAAGAAATGAATAAAAATTAGAAAGAATTAATTCTTCAAAAAGTTTTTACAAATCAAAACCCTGCAGTTTCACACTGAGAACAAAAGAAGCATATTAAACACCAAAGTTTATCAAGACAAATTAGGTCCCAGTTTCAAATTTTCTTTAATCTTTTGCATCTGAACGGTTTTTTTGCCTCATGCTGTTTTCCCTAGTTAAATGTTAAAATGAATTCTAGCCAATACCATTGACTTCCTCCCTTAAAAATATTGAGACACATAATAAAAAATTAATTACTTCCCCTAATTTCCGTGTGATTCTTTAAAAAGATGTAAAATTCATTTAAAGTAAGTGGTGACTTTGTCTTTGAAGATCACGACAATTAACATGGATCAAAGCTTAGGTTCTGTAACGATGATAGCTTATTAGCATAATGAAATTAACTTAGAGACAAGAATCTTTAATAGGTACAACAAAAACGCTTTAATAATACTTGAAGAAAATTATGTATTTGCTAGAAGTACAACAGTTTCAGATTTTCTATCCAATTAATAAGTTGTTAATTAACTCCTTTTCCAAACAATGCACACTTTAAGCTAACATCTTCCCATTGAAATATTCTATCTATTGTGCCACAGTTTTGAAAAGATAAAATGGTTTTGCCAATGGTACTTTGTATTTTTTTATCATTAAAAAAATTCAAGTTGACCCTCCCATCATATACATCGAATATTCATCACTAAAATGAAAAAGGACAACATTACACCTTGGGAAGTAAGTGAAGATGTCAAAAGATGATTACATTGCTCACACCTCAGCAATTCAAGGACAAATATTTTTGGATAGCTTTGAGGTGTCTATAAATTTGATTTATTCTTTAAACCCAGTAAGAAAAACATTCATTAAAAATAATATTAACAATTTGGTTTTGGAGTACATGCTGGAAACTACTTGGTTGAGGGGATAAATAAAAGAATGTAAGTTTTTTTTTTTTTTTCAAGCAGAAGTCTTAATAAGTATGTTTTCATCCAAGGGCTACAGAAGAAATGCATTTTGTGATTTTTGCACTACTCATTCATTAAGCCAATTTTATTATGCACTAATATTTACTGAGTGACCCAGGCACTAAGAGATTCTTAATATTTAAAATAAAGAATGTTGTGTTATTCTAGGATCTATTTTTGTTGTTGCTGGTGTTATTGTTCCAGGTAATTTTTTTGTCCATGTAGCAGAAATTTGCACTCTGTCCAAGTCTTCGTCCTCTGTTGTATCTGGCTGTTGTAGTATTTTTCTGACTGACAGAATTATGTATAATCTAAACATGAAAACAAAACAAGACAAAAACAATTATATAACAACTCAACAGAACACTGATTTTGACAAAATACTAGAATTTAACAAGAAATGTCTTCTTATTGCACATCTTCCTCAATTTTACCTCCACAAAATTCCTCCTCTTCCACATCTACATGGGAAATCCATGGTTTTCGAATTCCCCTATGTTGGTAATACCTTTTCTGGGTATATATTTTATAGTTCCAAAAATTAGTGCATGACTCCCAATTCCAAAGTTACGATGCTTCCTTCAATCCTCAATTCTGGTTTCCCTGGTAAACATGAAGTCCTCTGATTGCTCTTTTGTAGACTGACTCCTGTGTTACCCTGTCCAAAGAGCTGTACTATTAGCTCCCTGTCTACCTTATAGGGACAAAAGAGGAAGCAGAGAAATGGGGTCATAAAGTAAATACAGAGAGAAATATCAGGGTACTGGAAATCTTAGGACAATTGGTGATGTAATAGGAACGTAACCCTGAAATGGTCCCAGAATAGTCTAGATTATAATTTGAATGACTTCCAACAAGACAGTGCATGAAACCCATTTCTTTTTTCAGGTTAGCTGTTAGCCCTCACTCCAAACCTGAGGCCTAAAGACACCTTATTACTTTATATTGAAACTTAACAGAATTCAATCTTGTTCAAATGTCTCTTTTTTAGAGGTGTTTCATCACACAACTCAGTAATTCTTGTGACTCAATTTAAAATACTTAAAAAAAAAAAAAAAGAATGATGACTCCTAAACTATGATGAAATTAAAGGTTTGAAGAAATACTCTGGCTTCTCTCCATTTCTTGTTTTCCTGTTCTGCCATCTCCCTCCAATAACCCTAATTGGCAAAAATATTTCTGAAAATCCTGTGGCCAAAGGGCCCTAGCAAATGTAGCTTGCACAAAGCCAACTATTGGAGCAGAGTAGGAGAAAGGCACTAAGTGGATACAACAATGATTGTCACAATTTTGCAAATGAGAACTCCTTATTAACCACAGATACTAGAAACAACAGGCTGGTGCCGCGGCTCACTAGGCTAATGCTCCGCCTTGCGGAGCACCGGGTTCTAGTCCCGGTCGGGGCGCCGGATTCTGTCCCGGTTGCCCCTCTTCCAGGCCAGCTCTCTGCTATGGCCAGGGAGTGCAGTGGAGGATGACCCAAGTCCTTGGGCCCTGCACCCTGCAAGACCAGGATAAGTACCTGGCTCCTGCCATTGGATCAGCGCGGTGCTCCAGCCGCAGCACGCTAGCCACGGCGGCCATTGGAGGGCGAACCAACAGCAAAGGAAGACCTTTCTCTCTGTCTCTCTCTCTCACTGTCCACTCTGTCTGAAAAAAAGAAAGAAAGAAAGAAAGAAAGAAAGAAAGAAAGAAAGAAAGAAAGAAAGAAAGAAAGAAAGAACAGAACATTATTGAAGCAACCTCCATGATTATTTTACCACCTGCTTGGGACTTTAAACCCACCCACCATTCTGTGTGATGGCAGGGATAGCTTTCTGAAATGCAGATCAGATCATTATTCCTCCCATCCTGACATCTTTCAATTAATTCTCCTGCTTTATAATATAAATCCTCAGTTTATCACAGAAGGTCATCTCTAGTTCCTCTTCTGACCACCAAGGTATATCCTCTGGCGTACCTTCAAATAATCGTTTTTGTTTCAGAATGCTTTAAGCTATTGCAGACCACACTCTCACATGGGTCCCTCTGCCAGGAAATGTCAGTAACCTCTCCTCCCACACCAACCATAGCCATCTCCATAGGGGATTTTCCCCCATTAGAATAACTCTTGTTTCCCTTCAAAACTTAATATAACATTAATATCTGTGGTTTAACTTAGGTACTCCTCTATATCTACAGTGGGCTCACAATAATCATTGTTTACATTTGACATTCAGTACTCCTTTTGTAAGGAGTACTTACAAGATTTTAGGGGCATGGAAGTTGAGGACTATGCCTTTCTAATTGCAAACCGCTAATGCCCATCACATAGTACAGGAATAAAAGATTGTTAAATTTATGGTCATATAAATGGTAAACTCTTCTCTGATTACGTGAAATGACAGCATATTGATTTTATACATCCCTTTGCTATAAAGGCAATTCAACAAAGTTAAAGCACAACTTGATTGTGTTATTAGAATGGAAGTTGTACCTTAAAGACATTTTTAAAAAGTAATTAAAATATCTTATAATGATCTTCTCTAAATAAAAATAGATTTAGTCCATTTCTTTCTTCATTGAGCATTTTTTCAATGGAATCTGTTCTTTCTTTACACATATGTTGTTACTCTTTACTTTCTAAGGCTTTGCACAGCTGTGTCCTGCATTTGAATTTCCCTTGATGACCCTGTTCTTTTAATGTTGCTGTTCTTGTTTGTTTTCAGAAGAATTTATGTTTCACACTTAATTTGCATGTTTTTTTTCTAACCTCATGAGTTTGAACAAGAAGAAGTTCCCTGGTCTCATATGACAACTCAGCATGATAATGTACTGTTCATTAAAAAAAATGTGGATTTTTGCCCTCATCAGTTGCAAAATATATTGGTCCTGGGTAAAAATAATGTATACTACCCATCAAATAACAAGGAGATCCCTAAGAAAGTGGTTTGAATAAAAGAGAAATATGAATGAAAGACAGAAGGATGGAAGGAAGGAAAAAGGAAGAAAGAAGGAGGAAAAATCCAAAGTAAATAGTGTCTTTCCTTTTAATATTTATCATTTTTTAAAAATTGTTCATTTGTTTATTTGAAAGGCATAATGACAAATAGCAAAACAGAAACAGAGAGACTGAAAGAGAGAGAGAGAGAGAGAGAGATCTTCCATCCATTGATTCAGTCCTTAAATTGCCTCAAGAGAGAGGTTGAAGTTAGGTTCCAGGAATTCCATGCTGGTCTCTCATGTGATTATCAGGGCCATTCTGCTGCCTTCTCAGGCACATTTCAGGAAGCTAAACCAGAAGTGGTATAGCCAGGACTGTACCTGTCACTTCAACATGGGATAGGATCTGGTTTTACAAGTGGTGGCTTAATCCACTGCACCATAACACTGGTCCCTACCTATCAATTCTTGATCATAAAAATCCTTGTTGCCATAACTCTAAATCAGGAACAAAATTGAAACCAATATCCTTTAGAGAATAGATAAAGCATATGGTGTTCAAGGGTTGATATAATGAGAAAGCTAAGGGTTTGTAAAAGTCTCAACCACCTAATAAGCAATGCTGCAATACACAGACTATCAGAACAAATTACCTTGGTAATAAAATTTGAGCCAGAGTCTGAATAATACAAAAAGTTAGCAATTATCACATCAGATGTTTTAAAACACTACATGAAAAGCTAATAATAATTCCTAATAACTCTTTTTGCATTGCACAGATTATTTGTTTTAATGGAAAATTTTATATTAAACCTAAAAGTACCAATGATGATGTATTAATATTATATATACATTAATTTTACTTTTTATATATATTTAATCTTACTTTTTTGTGCTATTTACCTGTGATAAGAACAAATTCAAAATATCAGAGGATATGTAAAAATTGATTTTTTAAAACTTCCAAATAAAATTTTCCCAGATTTATGAGAAAGTTAGATTTGTTTCTAACCTTTTTAATTAAACTTTTTTATTTTAATAAAGTTATAGATAGATATAAAGTTGGAAGAAATAATATAAAGGAATCTCCATGCTCACTTTGCCTACACTGACCCTCAATAGTATCATCTGCAAATCTGTGGTACCAGATCATGACCAAAATACTGACATTGACACAGTCAGGACAACAATTCTACCACAAGAAGAATTACTTGTGTTTCCTTTAGTAACCCAGAAATCATATAAGAGTGCCAGGTTCAAATACTGGCTCCACTTCTTATAAAGCTTCCTGCTAAAGCATACTATAGGAAAGCAGCAGATAATGGTTCAAGTAATGGGTTCCTGCTACCCACATGGGAGACCTAAATGAAGTCCCCAGTTAGTGAGCCTTGAACCCGGCCAAGTACCATCCATTGTGGGCATTTGGGTTGTTCACCAGCAAATTGGAGATCTCTCTCTATCTCTCTTTCGCTCTCTCTTTTTCTCTCCCCACCTCTTTCTCTCTCTCCCTCTCCCTCTCTTTACTTCTTCCTTCTCCCTTTCTCTGTCTCTGTATCTCTGCCTTTCAAATAATAATGATCATAATAATAAGCCAATTATCTATAATAAGATCAGTGAATCCGGTATGAAATGTAATGATGCTGGTTGCTCCTCTTCCAGGCCAGCTCTCTGCTGTGGCCAGGGAGTGCAGTGGAGGATGGCCCGAGTGCTTGGGCCCTGCACCCCATGGGAGACCAGGATAAGTACCTGGCTCCTGTCATCGGATCAGCGCAGTGCGCCGGCCGCAGCGGCCATTAGAGGGTGAAGCAACGGCAAAAGGAAGATCTTTCTCTCTGTCTCTCTGTCCACTCTGCCTGTCGGAAACATAAAAATAGAAAAAGAAAAAGAAAAAGAAAAAAAAGAAAAAGAAATGTAATGATGTAGGGCTACCAACCCACAGTTTTGTCTTCTAAGAATATTCACTATGCTGTCATATAAACCACTCAATTCTCTCCCAAGGCAAAAATACCAGTTTGTGCTACATAGTCTTATCCCTTGGAACCTGAAAAGGATTCCTATAGAGGCAAAAAAAAAATCTATGTTCAAAGTGATACAATGAACTAACTCTGCACCTGGCTAGTGAAATTGTTGTCTATCACATTTATTGCAAAACCTTCAACATCTTAGTAAAGCAGCTAATACTGGACACTACTCACCCTCCTTACTATCTGTAAGATTTTACTATCAGACCCAACTTACCGTGGTGGCTTGTGACCAGGGATACTTGGCCTGGGTACAACTGTCCAGAAAGTACAGCTATTCTGACCTTTTCCACACTGAAGCTCATAAATCTGTAGTACACTGAGCCCTGATGCTTATATCAAATCAGGTAACTTAAATTTTTATCTAA